TTTTCTGACACCTGATAGCATGGCGTAGCTGCGGTTTCCTTACGGTTTACTTTATTGCTGTGCTGCAGCAACTGTACGTCTCACTAAGTCGTGCAGTAGCAGCTGTCAGTGTGGCACAGCTGTTGTGCACCTGGAGGTGTTGTCTGACACACTTGTGTTTCTGCCCTCACAGCCTGCATCTCTCAAGAGGCCTTTCAGCCTCCAGCCCAGCAAGGAGGCCAGGTGAGAGCTGTGTGTTGGGACTGTGTGTGGGGCTCTGCGCCCTGGGCACTGGGCATGTGTGTTGCTTTCTGTATTGTGTATGTGTGTGAGTGTGTACTTGTGTTGCCCTGTACTTCTTGGGCATATCTTGGTGTACTGAAACGGACGAATTGTCTTCCTTGTTCTCCCTTACTGTCGCCGTCTATCCTTCTCTCCATCTCTCTCCCTCCTTCCCCATTTTCTCTCTCTCCCCATCTCTCTCATCTCTCTCTGTCATCTCCATGTCTTTCCATCTCTCCCTCCTTCCCCATTCTCTCTCTCTCTCCACCTTTCCCCCCCCCCCCCCTCTTCCTCTCTGTCCCCCTCTCTTTCTCAATTTAATTCAATTCAAGGTGCTTTATTGGCATGACCGATGAATACAATCAGTGTTGCCAAAGCAAAACGAATACAATTCACGTAAAACAGAAGAGAAATCTACAGCCATTTACAACAAGGCCTGTCTCTCCCCGCTGTGTCTCAGGATGCTGGAACAGCTCCGGAAGCAGCAGGGATCCGTGCTGCACCCTGATTACCAGTCTCCATTCCGCTCCTTCGAGGACGCTCTGTACCGCCTGCTGCCCTACCACCTGTACCAGGGCACCGACTCCTCCAACCACGATTACCAGAGAGGTGCTGCCCGAACCGACACCCCCACACCCCAGAAACACACCCCGCTTTCCCAGACACCATCCTTCTCTGAACACTTCTTCCTCTCACTGCGCTGCCTGCAGGGGGTCTGTACTGCGTGCAATCTGCCTCAGATTCCCCAGGCTGTGCAGGCCTGACCGATACATCACAGTGTTGACATCTGTAACAGAAAACATTATTGTTTGAGAGGCTCACTCTCTCTCCAGTGTGTCTGGTGTTTGACTGTCTCTCTCTCGCCAGTTTGTGTGTGTCTGGTGTTTGACTGTCTCTCTCGCCAGTTTGTGTGTCTGGTGTTTGATTGTCTCTCTCTCACCAGTGTGTGTGTGTGTGTGTGTGTGTGGTGTTTGACTGTCTCTCTCACCAGTGTGTGTGTGTCTGGTGTTTGATTGTCTCTCTCTTGCCTGTGTGTGTGTGTCTGGTGTTTGACTGTCTCTCTGTCTCTGTCCTTGTAGTGGATGAGGAGTTCGAGAATGTGTCCAGTCAGTTGTTGAAGCGCACCCAAGCCATGCTTAACAAATACCGCCTGCTGCTCTTCGAGGAGTCCAAGGTAAGCTCTTCCAGCCTGTCTGTCCCTCTGCCTTCCTGCCTTCAGATGTCTGTCTGCATTTCTGTCGTCCTGACTGCTCTGTGAGTTCTCCTGTGTCTGCTCGTCTCTCTGATGCCCTCTCTCTGTGCCCAGCGGCTGGGACCATCAGCTGAGATGGTGATGATCGACAGGATGTTCATCCAGGAAGAGAAGACAGCGTTGAACCAGGACAGGATATTGGCAAAGGAGAGACCAGGTACTGGGGCACACCATGTAGTGTGTACTGCCCACAC